CAGGGAAATGCTTGTCCTCAGGTGTCCTGGAGAGGGCCCTTCTGTGGGACCACTGCCCCCAACGTCCCCTACTACCTCGTGGCTTTCCAGTCCTCCTCCAGGGACCCGACGGCTTCGCGCAGCAGCCACATGGTGGTCAGCGTCTCCTTCCCGCCTGCATCCACAAAGCACTGCCCCGCAAAGGCAGTGGTGGCATCTGGAGGAAGTGCTTGGTGGGAGGTCAGTGGCAATGGCACCCAGGCTCACTGGCTGCTTCCCCTCCCTGGGCACCTGCCCTTCCCCAGCAGCTCCCTTGGTGCAGCACCGCATCCCCCGTGCCCTGACAGGGTCCAGACCCGCCAGGGGCACCTCGGGCTGCCCGGAAGGGATGGGTGAGGAGGGTCCATCCTGTGTGAGCCCGGCATTGCCCATTGTCCCCACACCAGGCAGGCACCACCGCCTCCCTCTGCCTAGCTGCACCAAAGCATCACCCAGCAGACTTTCCAGCAGAGGAAAAATCCTCCTGGCTACCTGCCAGTGCCCGTGTGGTGCTGACCCTGGGTGGCCCAGAACTTACTGGAGAACTTGTCCCAGCGCACAGTGAAAGCGAAGGTGGGCCAGCCCCCCTCACCAGGCTGCTGCTGGGCACCCTGCAGGGGGGAGACGTGGGCGCAGCTGCTGGTGAGGGTGACCCGTGTGAGGTATTTCCCCTGGAAGTGTCCGTTGTTCCTCACCGCCGAAATCTCCATCAGCGAGTCCTGCTCGTTCCTCCATAGCCCGCTGAGCTGGCACTGAAGGGACACAGCCATGGGGCCTTCTGCCCCTGCTCATGGTGTAGAGGGGAACCCCATCCCTCCCAACGCCCCAAGGCTGGAGCCACAGCCCTGCTGCGAGTGTGTCTCCACGTCACAGCTCTCCCTGTCCTCAGTTTGGGGAAATGCTCCCCCAAGTGCTGCTGGCTGCTGAGCAGGTGATGCAGCAAGGCCAGCACATCCCAGCCTGTCAGCATGCATGGTGTCCCCTGACACAGACCCCATGGGAGAGGATGCCCTGTGCATTGTACCCCTGGGCACAGACCCCGTGGGCAGGGATGCCCAATGCATGGTGCCTCAGGCACAGATCCTGTGGGAGGGCACACCCTCTGCACAGTATCCCCAGCCACAGACCCTGTGGAAAGAGATGCCTCATGCCTGGTAACCCTGGGTACAGACCCGGCAGGAGGGGTGCCCCATGCATGTTGTCCCTGTGGGAGCAAAGCTTTGTGGAGATGGTGACTGAGTAGCTGGGGGTGACCCAGAGATACCCTGCCCATTGCCTGGAGTATGCACTTGCAAAGCTTGAGAGACTATTTAAGAGAGGACTCCCCGGCTGCCCACGCTGCATCCCGGTTCTATGTCTGCCACATCCCCACCACTACCCATCCCCATACCTTCCTCTCTGCAGGGGCAACGCATGCCACCAGGGCCAGGGCAAGCATGAGGGCGAAAGCACTGCTCCCCATGACTGCGAGACTGTGAAGCACCAGCTGCGGCTCCCTCCCAGCCCCACACCCCAGCCCCCTTTATAGGGCTGTAACCGGAGCCCCACAGGCACGGCAGGGGCCAGGGTGGCAGCCACGAGGTGGGTGGCCAGGTGGCAAGGTGCCTGGGACAGGCGAGGCGAGGTGAAGAGGTCTGTGTGACCTGGGCAGCACTGGAGGAACGTGGGGATGAGCACAGCTACGCAGAGAGGCAGGGGCACAGGGATGGTTGGCACATCCACTATGCAAAAAGCTCTGCTAGCCCGTTCTGTGCTCTGCAACGCAGTCCTTGGGGTGGGCACAGACTGGCAGTGTCCCACTGCCACCGTGCCAATGCTGCCGTCCAAGCGCAGCACTGCAGCAAGCACAGCCCAAACAGCTCTTCTCCGCTGCACTGAAGGGTTGTGTGTCTGCCCAGAGGAGTTTGTCCTCGTGGCAGTCCCCTCCCGCATTACAAGTTTCTGCTGCTGTTTCTAAGCTATTTTTTCTCCTGGCTGTGCTGGGCTTTCCCTGTGTCTGGGAGCTGTGACTGTCACTGTAGAGGGAGCTCTTGGGCAGCCTGGAATCAATCCCTCTTGTCAGTGCAGAAGGGCTCTTCTGGAAAATAGGTAAATACCACAATTTGCTTGCCCCCGTGGGAGGCGATGCCCTGTGCACAGTGCCCCCATGCACAGACCCCATGGGAGGCAATGCCACGTGCATGGTGCATGGTGCTTTAAGGCTGGGCAGGGTACAGGTCCGCAGCAGAGCCCTGTCTGAGCTCTCCAAAGGGGTCCCTAGTGGTATGAGATTGTACTGAGGATGCGCAGGTGGCCAGGGGTGCTGGCACTGCCTGGTTCTTTGCGCAGGGACACTGCACAGCCACCTCCTCTAAGATACCTCTCCAACCAGGGGAATGTGCCACAGAAGAGCATCAAGGAGAGTGCAGGGAGGGCAGGGCAGGGCAGGGGGGCTGGGAAAGGAGACACACCTGAAAAGCTTCATTTGACAGTGAAGCCAAAGGTGGGCTGGCTCTTCTGGTTCATGCAGTGCTGGGGACCCTGCAGCAGTGACGCCTGGATCTCATTCGTGGTGGCTGTCACAGCCATGTGGTAGGAGCCGAAGAAGTCACCTTTTCCATTCACAGCTGCAATGGTCATGCTGGAGCCCAGGCCCTTGATCTAGCACCTGGTCAGCACACACTGGAGCGGAGGGGACTCGGCACTGGTGCTGTGGCACAGGCCGGGTGTGGGCACCCCGGGGAGCCATGGAGGAGAAGCTGGACAAGCCACATGTCCCCTGTCCACCCAAGGGGATGTACTGCCCAGTCTGACGAGCTCCATGGGCTGTGGAGGCCGATCCAATCTGGGAGGATGCCCCTGCTCCCAGCCAGTCCCAGAAGGGGCTGGGGACTTGGCTGAGGAGCTCTTCCATCTTCCCAGGGTGACAGTCTGTGCTTGGCAAGGCTGCAGCCAGAGCTGGGCCAAGGAGGGAGGTGGAGGAGCAGAGCAGGGTGTGCAGTCCCATCCAGGGGGCTGTCAGGAGTGATGACCACATGAACACAGCTGTTGCAGATGAAATATCTCGCACGGTTATGGCTTAGCAGCAATTTCAAATTTATTAACAGTGTGAGATAAATCAAGGGTTTTAGCAGCATTTAGTGATTGATTAATTTAAAGATTAACAATGCAATTCAGGAAAAATACATTATGGTTATAATAGCAACCTAATTACAGATTTGAGAATGGCGAGATCCACACTAACTTATTACAAGGTATCCCTAATAGATATATAGAAACACAACGCATGCAAAACACAGAAGCAGACAGACAAACTATCAAACACTGCAGAAATACTTGGATCCATTGAAAGGACAGGGGAGCTAGTGTATAGTCAGAAGGTTCTCTCTTCTTCCTCTATAGAGAGGTAGATAGAGGAGACTAACCTACAGATAAAAGTTCTTCTTCCTTCTCGGGTTTAGAGCAAATACTCACAATGCTCCAGCATTCTCCAGTGGATGATAACTGAGTCTCGAGAAGTAGAACTTCACCCTGGCCCTTTGTTGGCTTCGCTGGCAGATGGTCCTCAGACCTCTTTGGTCCTGAGCAGTGTCCCAGCTCAAGCGAGGTGCTGGCCACAGCCTGCTGCGACCCAGGGGGGCTCAAAGTGTCTCCCTCAGGGTTGCTACTTGTAGGGTCTGAGTTAGCTGACTTTTGTCAGGTACTTTTCCATTTCGGCCCACTTTGGATGATGTCGTGTTCTGGTGTGTTACACCAGTTACCAAAGTGTATGATCCCCCTTAGGCACAGATCCAGGTACTGGGGTGCAAGGTTGTCATGAGGTGATTGACTGTTACTATCGTTCAAAGCAAGAGCCGGGTACACGGGGGGGTACCTCAATGCTCGGTTTCACTGCCATAATGAGGAGCAGGAACCAGGGACACCAAGGAGGCAACATGACCTTTGGGTTCACATCTTCACAGGTCATTCCTGAACCACCTGTGTTGGGATATGATTCCTCTCAGGACGGGAGGAATCACACCAGGCACTGAGTGACTTGGGAGAGGGAGGGTTGCACCCTCCCTGACTAAGGTCAATTTACTGCATCCGTAGAGTGGCAGTGTGGTTGCCTCTTGCCTCTGTGCCTATAAACAGAGAATGCTGTAATCCAATTACAGTTTTGAGGGAAATTGTGTGTTAGGCTATTCTCTATAAGTTAATTAAAGTTTCATTAATGTGACTAGGTGATATCATGTATATGAGGAAACATATATGTGGGGAAATTTTTGCAGTAGTGTAACTTATTTAGCTACCCTGCAAACTTTAATATATAAAACTGTGTCTGACAGTAAGCCTAAGACAGTAATTAATACCCATTAAAATTACAAGAGGATGCAGCATCAGGTTCAGTGTCCTGGTTGCTGTTGGTGACTATCCAAAGAGGACTTCCCACCATCAGTGCTCTCCATCCTTTTTGATTCTTTCCATTACTTTGAGGTATTTTCTTGACATCATGATGGACAGTGATAAGAGTTTTTTGTCCATTTTCTCAAGCTTGTTGTAGCAGGTTAATTAAGTCAGGATGGTGAAGAAGCTATTTGTTTGACTGGACTTAGATTCATTCCAATGGGTATTGGTTGTGGCTCACAATACAGGATGTAATCAAAAGACAAATCATCATGAGTAGTTACTGGCACAGATAAATCAAAATTGGCGATGATTAGTTATGCAAGAAGGATAAGGAATCGTCCCCATCTTCAGGGAAGGTGTGTTGGCAACATCATTGGTATTGTTCCTGGAAAGAGGAAACAACACAAATCTTGATGAGGTCTTTCCAGATGGGTTCCCCCTTAGTGGTTGAACTTGTTTAACTGCTCAGACTAAGGATAAAAGTTCCATTCCCAGTCTGTTCTGTTTCTTTAAATGCAGTTGAGCTGAACAGTAAAGGCTTCTTTGGTCCATCAGGACCAATTTAGAAAGTTTACATTAATTGTTGAAATTCTTTTCTAGGTTGGGGCGTTTGTGAATGTTCTGTTTTGTTCAAAGTGTCCAGTGGAATTGCTGCGCTTCCAGCAATCGACCAGGTGTCCAGAAATTTAACATCTTTGCTTGGTCACTGACATTTTTTAGGTGGGGTCTCAGTTCCTGCTTTATGTGGTGCTTACCACACTCCTGCTGCTGCTTCTCCCACCTTTTCAGGGGAATTTCCTCCAATTAGAACATAATCTATGTACTGACACAATTTTACCTCCTCAGGGAGTGAAACGGTTTATAAAAATTCAGCAAGTGCAGCATGGGCAATTGTAAGTGAATGTTTATACCCTTGTGGGAGTCTTAAAGGTGTACTGTATACCTTCCCAAGTAAAAGCATATTTGTCTTTATCATCCTCTGGTAAGGGGGACCATAAATAACATATTTCTCATATCTGGCACTGACACCCATGGGTGTGCAGCTGATTGTGGTGTGGCTGTTGAAGCAGCAATATTGGGGTCTGCAGTGGTTAGCAGAGCTGCGTTGGCATTTAAGTGCCAATAATCAATTGTTAAACACCATCTCCCATCTGTCTTTTTGACTGGCCAAACTGGTGAATTGTATGGGGAGTGGTTTCTGGAAATAGTGTGCTGCTTTTTCAAGTTTGCTATTACTTCAGAAATTCCGGTTTGTGTCATAGCAGAAACCGGATACTGCAGGACATTGGTAATTTTTGAATCAGGGAGTACAGGGGCTGTGCGGAGAACACGTCCTGTAGTCTCCTGATTTCCATCAGGGTTAGGGTCGGCATTTGAACCAAAAGACCGCACACTGTTGTCCGGCAGGTGTCAAGTTCATCCGTTCAAAACACCAAACCCCAAAATATTTTAATGGTGATCCTAACTGCAAAGTGTTGATGACAGCTGGGCTTGTTTAGCTTGGAGAAGAGAAGGCTCTTAGAAGACCTCATTGCGGCCTTACAGTACTTGAAGGGAGCCTATAAACAGGAGGGGGAGCGACTGTTTACAGGGATTGATAGTGACAGGACAAGGGGGAATGGTTTTAAACTAAGAGAGGGGCGATTTAGGTTAGCTATTAGGAGGAAATTTTTCACTCAGGGGGTGGTGAGGCACTGGAACAGGTTGCCCGGAGAAGTTGTGGATGCCCCATCCCTGGAGGCACTTCGGTAATTTTAGCTCTTTGCTGTCCAGGTTGCACACCCAGCTTCTTAGCATCCTGTTGCACTAGTATTGACTTTTGTGTTCCCATATTGTGGTGGGTTAGCCCTTGGCTC